CCCATTTGTGGTGTCCCATATCTGGCTGGATTATAGCTAATAGCTGTGTAAAACCCACCGCCAACGTGGTCTAGTGGATACAACGTCTCCCCGGAGTGCGGAAGGTCGGTGGTTCGATCCACGGTCACCTCGTACCAAAGTACTGTAAATTTTAGGATAATGTTGTTATCATGTCTCGCCTTTAGCATTATGGGTAAAACAAGGACTGGTCGGCTTGGAGTCAGTGTCTGAGTTGGGTATTCATGTTAAACCGCGACATGGAATCACATTGGGCCAGCACTCAAAAACAGGCATAAGTCCAGGCTTGTACGCACGCACGCACGCACGCAAGCACGCACGCATTCTCGCACACATTCTCGCACACACACGTCCACGTGGGCAAAACAATCCCAGGAACTATTTTGTGCACTATATAAATCAGATTGTAAACGTACACCACGTGATCAAATGGCAATTGAGCTCTCATTGGTTAAGAGCGATATACTGCGCTTCATTAAGGTAGAAAAGCCCAGGTGACGGTCAGACTCGCGAAAGAATGAACTCCGATTGACAAAACAGCGTCACCTGTCTATGCGACGTTCAAGGCTAACACGCCGTGATGAACGTTCCCTCGGAGCTGAAGTGTTTTCTTTTACAGTTGTACTCCACTGTAGCGGTTGGTTGTATGTAGCAAATATTTGGTAGATCACCTCTAAGTAGGATCCATCTGGTTGTTTGACAATGTATGTATTGTCAGACCAATAGTTAAAAAACATATTGTACACACTCTGTGTGTTTAACGCCACTCCGTGACTCTAACTGGAAGTTCGCTATTTCTTTTGAATATGATGCCTCAAGCTTTAGGCAAGTGAATCAGGCAATTGATAAACACGACCATCAGGGTGCCTTTTCCAAAAGTTAACTATCCGAAACGAATACAGCCCGTTTCAGACGATCGGACAGGCAGATATTCCGACGCTGATAAGTCGCGATCCGTCACCTAGTGGTCGAAGGCACTCCGTTCGGTATTCACATTGAGCCGTCACATGATGCTTTGGTCGTGTTTAAATCTAAGGTTTGCCAGCAGCTGCAAACGTTTACGACCTGCGTAACCTCCCTGCCTCATTGAGCTGATAAAACGCGTGACACAATCTCATTAAAGTCAGATCTTAGTTCTCGCTATCGCTAAACAAAGATCTGAGGACATCCCATTACGGGTCACGTCAGAACGACCTTTCATCCGACCAATCAGAGCGTCGCTTACCAGATTATGAAAGTGACAGTTGGAATGTGATTTCTTATCATGCAACCACGAGAACTTTGACACGGTGAATTCCGAACGATAGTTACGGGTTTAACGACTGAATCCATACAATCTAGACCAACTATTAGCCATTCCAGAATGTTCTTTTGTTCAGGTTTCAAATTTTTAATCGAGAATTTGTCAAAATATGTTTCGAAGCGTTGTGGACCTATTTGAAATTAGTGCCGTAAAGCACGAGAAAGCTGCCTTCTGATTGGTCATTCCATTGGTCGGTCAAAGTTCGCGCAAGGTCGGCCTGACGTGACCCCTAATGGGATGCCCTCAGATCTTAGCGAGTAGCGGTAGCGAGAACTAAGATCTGATTTTAATGAGATTGCTAATCATGCAACCTCGAAAACGTTAACACGGGGTATTCCGAACGACCGTTACGTACCCTACGACAGATTCCGTCAAAATTATCGACGTCTATCTCACACTTCCGTTGGATAAACGTTTGAACGGAGAGGGCGTTGCAAAGTACGTGGGAAGCACTCCCATAAAATCTCAACCATATATTAAACATTCCAGAATGTTAGTTTGTCTGTGTAAACATATTTTTCAAGCGTCGTGTGAGACGGAAGTCGTCAGGTTGCAACGAGTGCCGTAAAGCTCGAGAAAGCTGCTTTCTCATTGGCTGATGTCGACTTCTTATTAGTCATGTCAGTGGTCGGTCAAAGTTCGCGAAAGGTCAACGTGACCCGTAATGGGATGGGATGTCCTCAGATCTTTGTTTTGGGGCAGCGAGAACTTAGATCTGATTTTAAAGAGATTGCGCGTGACAAGGCTGTTTATCGACATCGTGGTGACTGCCTTCGTGGTCTAGTGGTTGAGGGCCTGTCCGTTCGATCCCCGACCGCGTCATACCAAAAGACGTTAGAAGATGGTACTTGCTGTTACCCTGCCTGGCGCTCGGCAATGAGGGGCTAAAACAAGGACTGGTCGGCTCGAAATCAGTACACTGTGTCTGAGTGGAGTAATCATGTTAAACTGCGGTATGTATCACAGAAGGCTAGCATTATAAAATCGGCATTGGTCCGGACAAGTACAAGCACACATCCGCACGGTGGCAAAACAATCCCATTAATTATTCCGTGAATTATATGAAGCATGATGTATAAATCAAATGGCGAGCTCTCATTGTTCAAGAGCAATAAACTACGCTCCAGAAACGCAGATTCGCGACAGTGTGTACTCCAGATGACAAAACAGGGGCACCTCGTCTTAGCGTCGCTCAAAGGCCAGAAAGCCGTGACGAAGGCTCCCTCGAAACTGGAGGCGGATGTTTAAAACTGAATTCTTGGGTGACACTTTTACACTGGTCATCCGTCCAGGTGGTCGCCTCATTGGCCGTGCCTGTTTCTTCGTTAGGATGCGTCTCACTCTGACACACTTCATCACGAAGGTAAATAAAAGGCTCTAATAATGAATATTTATTTTTGATATGAATCAAGTATATATGAATCAATTCACTTGAAATTTCTATACCTGTTTTCTTTTCGGGTACTTAGTTTTATTTTTTAAATATAATTTGGTTTAAAACTTAAACGTTTGTTTTCGCACAATACGCAACTGCCGATGGGTAACTCAATAAATACATTTGCCCTTTTCCGCACAAGTTTTCTTTTCAAACATGGTTTGTTTAGGCTCTGTACATCACGTACATTTAAACGCAATGTCAATATACATTACACGACTCCTTTTTGATTGAATTCCATAGGTGCTTGATTTGCATAGACTGGAGATCGCCAAAATGGCCGCGGGGTATGTTTTTTTCCGGTTGAACTCGGCTGTTAAGGGTTATGTTGGTTAAATGTAGCAAATATTTAGCAGGTGCCCTCTATGAAGGATCCTCCTACTCTGATTATATGAAACATTTTATTGTCAGCCAGATAGACAAGCGTTCCCTGACGCGACTAGAAGTTCGCTATTTCTTTTGAATATGATGCCCCCAGCTTCAGGCAGTTTGTATATTATCTAAGAGAATCAGGCAACTGATAAACACGACTATCCGAGACGGCTACATCCCCTTTCAGACGGTCGGTTGGTTGGTTGGTTGGTTTGTTGTTTAACGCCGCACTCAGCAATACTCCAGCTCAATGACGGCGGTCTGTAAATAATCGAGTCTGGACCAGACAATCCAGTGATTGACATCATGAGCATCAATCCACGCAATTGAGATACGATGACATGCATCAAGCAAGTCAGCGAGCCCGACCACCCGATCCCGGTTCTCTCTTGGTTTGTCAACAGCTGCAAACGTCTACGACCTACTTAACCTCCCTGCCTCATTGAGCTGATGACACGCGTGACAAGGGTGTTTATCGACACCGTGGTGACCCCCCTCCGTGGTCTAGTGGTGAGGGTCTGCCCGAAGCGGAAGGTCGGGGGTTCGATCCCCGGCCGCGTCATACCAAAAGACGTTAGAAGATGGTACTTGTTGTTACCTGCCTCGGCAATAAGGGGCTAAAACAAGGACTGGTCGGCTCGGAGTGTACTGTGTCTGAATGGTATTCATGTTAAACTGCGGTATGTTATCACAGAATTATAAAATCTAGCATTATAAAATCGGCATTAGTCCGGACTAGTACACAGGTCACATTCACGTCGCTATATAAGTGCAATAACCTTGATAGAATAGGTATTCAGCATCTCATTCTTGCCGTAAAAGGGGACTATGCTTGTCGTAAAGAGACGACTATAACAGGATCGGGTGGTCAGGCTCGCTGACTTGCTCGATGCATGTCATCGTATCCGATTTGCGTGGCTCGATGCTCATGATGTCAATCGCTCGATTGTCTGGTCCTTTTATTAACAGATTTGTTTCCGTCATTTGTAGATTAACAATAGGTTGATCTTTATGTTGCGGGACCACTACATTCTCCTACATTTTAAATGACAACAATTTGGTTGGTTTGTGAGTGTAATAAAACCCTAAATATTCCCTTTCCTGCTCTTGCCCTTTGCGACGATATAGGCCGTTAAAGAAATGGTCATTCTGACACGTATTTTCGCCGAACAGGAAACACCAAGAACAGAACTTCATATGTGTACATGTCCATCTTAAACGGTAGGATACACGGAACTTAATCATTGCACAATCAAATAACGTCGTTGTTATTACACACAACACGTTTAAATAATACCTCAGATTTTGATATTCTATGACCCTATGTTCTAAAGCACTTTCTACACAGAGTTGCCTCTCTTGGATCTACTGGATCCGAGTCCGAGCTTCTCAAGTTCGAGCCTTGGTCTGTAAGCACCATACCCATGCTTGTGGGTTTCACCAAAGTGATCGACGATGGCAGAACTTGGGGCTTTCCTCCAACATGAAACAGACAAGCCATGATATAACTACAATACTGTTCAATGCGACATTAACCCCTCCCCTCGCCGTCCAAAATTCATGGAATTAATGATCATCCTTCCTACTGAACACATGTTTGTTTTGTGCCCCGAGAATCTATCCTTGCTAATTTAAACCATTTGAATGTTGTTCATCGTCTAAACAAAGTTAATATTCATATCCGATCCTAAATCGTGCCGGCAAACACATACTTTTTGTGGGTTGAGTTATTTTTGATCTCTTCCGAAATGCCTGTCAACACGACAGTCTCAAGCCCAGCGGGGAAACAAGAAGGTAAAGCACGTAGTAAACAACCGAGCACGGAATCCCCGCCTCGTCATCTCCACGCGCTACACCTTTGTCTCAGGTCGTAGCCCCGGCTACACACGCCCGACAATCCCGCGTTTGCTTACACGATCGCTTCCTCGCCTTACAACTTCAGAAAAACGTGTGATCTCGGCGCCGTTCCACAAAGCGATCTTAGCTCTAAGTGGATCGTAACTCCCATACTTTAACATAGACTTACGACAGTCGTAGCGCTAAGATCGCTTTGTGGAACGGAGAACTTTCAAGTTCAGGGCCCCGTTTCTCAAAGCGATCGTAGAGCTACGACTGTCGTAAGCCTAAGCTTAATAATGTGAGTTACGATCATCTTAGCGCTACGATCGCTTTGTGGAACGGGGCCCTGAACTTGAAAGTTTATTGAGTCATTGGAAAGAGAGTCTGTCGATGACAATGGATACGGGGCGACTATTTCAATATTGGTTGGGTCGGGATAAATGGGGGGTATCACTACTTCCAAAAATCCCAGTTATGGCTTATGTATGTAGCTGACGTTTTGTGTAGAGTTTGTTGGCATCGGAATTTCAGTTTGGCAGCCAGGTTGGCTAAGTGTATGTTAGACAACGAGGACCTAATTAACCATTTCAACGATTAGACACTGGGTAAACCATTCATTTAGGACCAACCCAAGCATATTTATCAATCACCAAAATTTTATTTGCCCATGTTGATGTGCCTATTATGAGCAAACACAGCCCTGATCAAGATATAGTTTTTTCTTTTCTAGCTGTTCGTTTCGCTGAACGAAAAGCCCCCAAAGAACACGAGTACATTATACATACAAATACATAGAGTAACATACTGTATAAAACTTGCATAAAACATATATCGCAGTTCATAAACAGATAAGCAATCAGTCTTGATGTTAGTATATATTTAGTTAAGTTCATACAATTTTTCCCAAGTCTTCAAATTCAGTTGGTTGGACCGCGGTCGACCAGTGAAGATCTGGGATAGAATAGGTCTCCAACAACCCATGCTTGCCGTAAAAGGCGACTATACTTGTCGTAAGAGGCGTCTAACGGGATCGGGTGTCCATGGCCAGGCTCGCTGACTTGTTTGATGCATGCAAACCACAAACTCTAGATCACGGTCAAAGACAAAGGAGTCATTGTTTAATTTGAACCAACCTTCAGTGGTCTCCCCATATCAGCCTATATCAAGTCTCCCAGCTGACTGGAACTTGTTACGTTCTTCATTACACCGATGCTAAACATATCTGATCTGTTCCACATGTCGCGGTAATGTACAGCTAGTTTTATCAGACGGCCATTGTCAGGTTCAAAGTCAGTCTTTGTCTGTTTGTTTGGGTCAGGCTAAGACTGGCATTTGGTCCTAGAAATAAGCTGTCTTATTTAAAAATATATATCTTCAAAATAAAAAAAATGAAAAATATCCTAATGGAGCCCGGAACAATCCCTAAATTCGGGTAATCTAGACTTGCCAAATCATTCTTGACGTGAGTTGGACTCCGTTTTTAATATATTCTCACGGGTCTATCTGTGTCGGGATGTTTGGGTCAGGCTGTTTGTGCTCAGATGTTTGGGTCAGGCTGTTTGTGCTCAGATGTTTGGGTCAGGCTGTTTGTGCTCAGATGTTTGGGTCAGGCTGTTTGTGCTCAGATGTTTGGGTCAGGGTATTTGTGTTGGGATGTTTGAGCCAGGCTGTCTGTATTGTGATGTTTGGGCCAGGCTGTTGTGTTATCTATGTACAGTAAACTACGGTTATAACGAACTCAAAGGGACCACTTATTTTAGTTCGTTATAATCGTAGTTCGTTATGAGCATATAAACAGCATAACTACAGCAAATAGTCGGGACCAAAAAGTAAGTTCGTTATATCCGTCAGTTCGTTATAAGCGTGTTCGTTTTAACCGAAGTCTATTGTACTATATTTTTCGTATCTACCGTCGTGATGTGGATGGGCTAATACTAAAAACGACGTAAACCCGAACTCACTCACTCACTCACTCACTCATTCCATTTGTAAGTCAAATTGCTGTAAAATGAATCCAATACATCAGTGATGCATATCAACAGCACAGAGAAACTGATACGAATCGCCTCTGCCGACTTGTCCAATCGCACAGTCGGTTGTGTGTCTGTTGACTCAGCGCGTGGTTCGGCTGAAATTGTATCGTTGTTCCTGTCGTGATGCCCGCGAACACTGCGGAGTCCACGACACACCGTCGCATTTGTGTGTGGCTGTATCGTGCGGGCAACGTGTGATCAGGACGCCGTGGCGCGGAGATGAGATGAGGTGAGGTCTAACTGTTTATATTACCACATTTTGTAATTATTGTCATGTTGACAATGTCATAATTTTATAGGTGGCTTAATTTCCAATTTCAAATGTCGTTCTACTCGTCACCGCCGGGGATTCATTTCCTTAGTATTGTGTTTCCTGAAGACTTGGGTTTCAACAGTTAGTTAATAGTCCACGACCTGTTATCTAACTGTACATGTAACTGACATGCTTGTTGAATGATACGCTTGGGGTCAAACGTCAGACTGTCGCTGTTGTGTTGATTCGTGATATTTTTTGTAATTACATGTTAGTTTTAAATAGCAATCTGTGATAGTCTAGTTATTTTACTGTCCTTTGTTGACAGGTTTTTATAAGTTCTACTAGTTTTCTGTTTGTGTATAAACTTCTACATGTACGATATGATTGATATACTGCCGATGTGACTGTTTTAAGTCACTCGCTCACTG